AATTACTTTGCGTTTGTGATTGTCGATGACTACTCTAGGTTTACATGGACCTTGTTTCTTACTCATAAAAGTGAAGCATTTCATGTTTTCAAAAATTTTCTAAAGAAAGTTCAAAATGAAAAAGAAACAACCATAGTAGCCATAAGAAGCGACCATGGGGGAGAGTTCGAACGAAATCTGTTTTCAGATTTGTGTGACGAACTTGGCATTGATCATAACTTCTCAGCCCCACGTACACCACAACAAAATGGAGTGGTGGAACGTAAGAATAGATGTCTCGAAGAGATGGCTAGAACTATGATCAATGAGGCAAAAATCCCTAAGTATTTTTGGGCGGATGCCGTGAGTACCGCGAGCTACGTGTTAAACCGAGCCGTCATTTGACCGATACTCATGAAAACGCCCTATGAACTATACAAAGGGAGAAAGCCAAACCTTTCCCATCTTCGAGTCTTTGGTTGCAAATGTTTTATTCATAATAACGGCAAAGATAACTTGGGAAAATTTGATGCCAAGTCGGACGAAGGGATTTTTCTTGGTTATTCTCTTCGTAGCAAGGCCTATAGAGTATTTAATAAATGTACTTTGACTATTGAGGAGTCCCCTCATATTGTATTTTCCGAAGATAATACTCGTTTGGCGAGAAAGGCTATTTGTGATGATCTTGCAGATTCATTAGAGAGAGTACACCTTGAAGACGATGAAGAAGACACGCCATTATACACCAACCCGCAACCACAACCTAAGGAAACATCTCAAGTGATGGTCGAAAATGAGGACCAAGCAGACGAAGAAGAACAAGAGGAAGCCCAGGAACAAGAGGAAACCGAGCTTCCCATCGCTTGGAGAACGCACAGGAACCATCCACTTGACCAGGTAATCGGCAGCATCAACCGCGGGGTAAGTACTCGTAACTCACTTAGGGACACCGTAGGACACATGGCTTTTGTTTCTCAAATTGAACCTACAACCATTTCCGAAGCAATAAACGATGAACATTGGACCTTGGCTATGCAAGAGGAACTAAACCAATTCAAACGAAATGACGTTTGGGAATTGGTGCCAAGACCTGATGATCGTACGGTTATTGGTACGAAATGGGTGTTTCGTAACAAACTTGATGAAAATGGAATAATCACTAGAAACAAAGCTAGGCTCGTAGCTAAAGGCTACAATCAAGAAGAAGGCATTGATTTTGAAGAAACTTATGCACCTGTAGCACGTTTAGAAGCTATTCGTTTACTTCTCGCTTTTGCTTCGTCTATGGATTTTAAACTTTATCAAATGGATGTTAAGAGTGCCTTCCTCAATGGTTTTATTCAAGAGGAAGTGTATGTTGACCAGCCCCCGGGGTTTGAGGACTTTGAGTTTCCCGATCACGTCTTCAAACTCAAGAAAGCGCTCTACGTGCTTGGTACGAACGTTTGAGCAAATTTCTTTTGGATAGTGGTTTCCAAAGGGGAAAGGTAACCACACTTTTTATAAAGAGTAAAAACAATAACATCCTTTTGGTTCAAGTTTATGTAGACGACATTATATTCGGTGCTACTAATGAGTCTTTGTGCAAGGAATTCTCAACGCTAATGACTAGCGAATTTGAAATGTCAATGATGGGCGAGCTCACATTCTTTTTGGGACTCCAAGTTAAGCAAATGAAAGATGGCACGTTCATTTTCCAAGCTAAATACTGCAAGGAGCTCCTAAAACGGTTTGAAATGGACAACGCCAAAGCCATGGCGACCCCAATGAGCACATCTAACCATCTTGACAAAGACGAGAAAGGTAAGGAAGTAGAGGTCAAAAAGTATCGAGGTATGATCGGATCCCTTCTTTATCTTACCGCTAGTAGGCCGGATATCATGTTTAGCGTTTGCCTTTGCGCAAGGTATCAATCGTGTCCGAAGGAGTCGCACTTAACGGCGGTAAAATGGATTATGAAATACCTTGCTGGCACGGTTAACGTTGGACTGTGGTATCCAAAAGGCTCTTCTTGTCATCTCGTTGGCTACTCCAACTCGGACTTTTCCGGTTGCAAATTGGACCGTAAAAGTACGAGTGGGACTTGCCACTTACTTGGTAGTTCCTTAGTCTCATGGTTTAGCAAGAAACAAGTCAGTGTTGCGTTATCCACAACCGAAGCGGAATACGTAGCCGCCGTTAGTTGTTGTGCTCAAATCCTTTAGATGAAGAAACAACTCGTGGACTATGGCCTTAGTATTAATCACGTCCCTCTTCGTTGTGATAATACTAGCGCCATAAGCTTGACGAAGAACCCCGTTCTTCACTCAAGGACAAAACACATTGACATTAGGCATCATTTCATTAGAGCTCATGTTCTCAAAGGTGATGTCGAAATTGAGTTTGTTGAAACACACAATCAATTAGCCGACATTTTCACAAAACCTTTAGAGAAAGAGTTGTTCTTCTGCATTCGAAGTGAACTCGGAATCGTTGACTCCACGATGATCTAAGTTGTGCATCTAAATTTTTTAAACATTTACTAACTTGAGCGTCGGAGAACTTTTTCTTTTTTGCAGGTACCCCGTTCATGAAATCAGGGGGAACCATGCAAACAGCGCTGTCCAGGAGACACAACAGCGCTGTTGAGGGAAACAACGTCAGCCAGAAAATTTTCCAACAACGCTGTACAATAAGCCAACAGCGTTGTCCCAGGGAGTCCCTTAAATCTTCACTTTCCAGAAACTTTTTGAACATCGATGTTCTTTTTTAAACATCACTGTCTACCCAAAACACTTTGTTTTCTACCAAAACCATACACTTTTTAAACAGCGATGTCTTACTCTCAACATCGATGTCCTTCTTTTACAAATTTTTTCCTTTATCGCAAAACAGCGATGTATAGACACCCAACAACGCTGTTCAAATGGGCTCAAACCCTTTCACAATTCCAGAAACTTTTGAAACATCGCTGTAGGGCACTCAACATCGCTGTCTGTTTAACTCCAGTTTTTTTAAACTTGACGCTGAACAGCGCTGTACCAGGCACGACAGCGCTGTCCTAACAACGATGTCGCTTGTAGAACATCGCTGTTCTGGTCAAAATTTTCAAAAAAAATATCCGTTGCAACTGCATTAAAAGCTCCAACAGCTCTTTTTTTAAAATTTTGAACGTTGGCCACCCTCTCTCCTATATATTTGGACCCCCTATTCTCACTTTTACACACACAAACACAATTCTCTTCAATATCATTGCTTATTCCATCATCTCTACTCTCCTCTTTTGTGATTTTTTTCTTCTTCATCATGGGCAAGGACAAGAGCAGGGCCGCCACCTCCGGGAAATCAAAGTCCAAATCCCGGGCGCCTACGTCATCCTCCGAGGAGAGCCTCTACTATGGCGACGGGTCATACCTTTGGTTTGATTCCGAGGAGGAGCGCACCCGTTTCTTCACCTTCTTCTCTAAACGCGTTGTGGCTCCCCCACGAATCATCCCGGAGCGTTACCCGGAGTTGCAGGGCTACGACGACCTCGACGCGCAGCTTCATCAAGCCGGCCTTTGGCCGTTCGTCTCCCGGGCACGAAAGGAAATCAACCCGGCGCTAATCCGGGCCTTCTACTCCAACCTCCGGCGTGAGGACGACGTGCTCTACTCGCTTGTCAAGAGCACGCTGATTGAGCTCACCGTAGAGCAGCTTGGGCGCATCGCCGGCCTCCCCTTCCAAGGCAACGATGTGTCTCACTATGGTGGAGAGGATTGGGTGCTCAACAACGAGGGCCTTATCCTCAACGAGCTTGGCATGACCGAGCTCAAACGCCATGCCTCGGGCCGCCCAACCATCCACTCAAACCCAGGAAGCACGGCCACAGCATCATGCACGGTGAAGACCTCAAGCTTATCCATGCGATCATGCATTCGGCCCCAATCAATTGGGCAAAGTTTGTCATGATCAACATGACGATTGCCGCATCCACCGAGCACGACCACCTCCTCCCGTACCCGTTTTTGGTGATGGACATCCTTGAACGGTTCAAGGTAACCACCACCGTTGGCCCGCTCACGAAGGCCACAAAGCTTTGGACAATCAGCAACAAAACCTTCATCAAACGGTCAGACAACGACGCGCCTGCCACTGCCGCGCCACGCCGCACTGCCACTGCCGCTGGCCCAGCCGAACCCCTGGCCTGGGCCAACCTCGCCTCCATCGCCGACTCCCTCAACAGGCTCCACCTCAAGGTTGACGGGATGGGGAGCTACCTTGAACGGCTCGACGTGGCTGTTCAACGCCAAGGGTACGCCATGAACGCGTATTTCCAAGGCATCAACTACGTCCCGCCACCTCTTCACGGCACCTTCCTCGGCGAAGTCTACGATGATGAAGACGAAGAGGATGAGTCCTTCTCCCAGTCAAGCTCCCCGGACAAGGATCAGTTTGAAGATTTCGTTGATGGTGATGAGATGGACGTCGACGACGACGAGGAGGAAACCGAAGACGAAGCCTAGGACTCCCCTAGCATTTCTCTCTTTTGCTTCAATTATCTTTTTTTAATGCTTCCGTTGTACTCCACTATTTCCCTTTAGCCAATAAAAGTATCTTTTATCTTTTTGTTAATGTCAAAAGGGGGAAGAAAAGGGCTATGCATATACTAAGGGGGAACGCCTCTATAAACGAGACCGTTTGATTTTAACCCAACTAAAATTTTTAAGCACAAATTAAGGGGGAACTTTTTCAAAACCTTCTGAAAATTCAATATCCCTTAGTATGCATATCCCCGTCATGTTTGCCATTATCAAAAAGGGGGAAATTGTTGGAACACGGGTTTACGCCTACGTCGTACTAAACTGTGTTCGTTTTTATGACAGGTTTTGATAATGCCAAACCGCCGCGACATATCAAAGCTAAAGTGAGCAAAACTAAGGCGAAGGAACATGGCATGATGACTTGAGAACCAAGGCCCCAGAATCAAGAACGAAGAATTAGAATTGCATTGAGTCGGTCTTAATGAGATCAAGACCGGCACAAAATTCCAAATCTTGGCTCTCTAGGCTCAATTCATAAAAATCTTTTTTGCATATTCAAAAATATTTTTCTTAAATTTAAACTTGGCTAAAAACATTTGGAGTTCGCCCAAACCAAAAACCAAGCCATCCATCGTTCGGTTTTCAGAAACCGGCGTTCGGCTCTCGGTTTTCGGCATTGGTTTTTGGCGTCCGAACCAACCAAGTGGTTTTCAACCTTTTATTACTGGTTTTTACTTCTGGGCATATTTAAATAGTTCTCCAACAAAAACGCCTCAAAAACCACCTTCCGTTTTTGGTCGTTTAGTGAAAACCATGCGAAACGGCGCGAACTTGGCTAGCCGTGGTTTTCAACTAAATGACGTGGTTTTTAAGATGTTTTACTTGATTTCTTAGCAAAATGCAATAAACAAATGTTTTCTAAACTTGGTTTTAATTTTGGAGAACTTGGGTTTTGGACATCGGCTAACGGCGTGACTAAACCAACCATGGGTCTGGCTAAACCAGCCCAACAGCGATATTGAGGTAACCAACAGCGCTGTCTGACCTGGGTAGCTAAAAACATGGTTTGGCGTTAAGTCTTCCAACAGCGATGTTGGACATTAGACATCGCTGTTGAGCCAAGGTTGGATTTCCAGAAACTTCTAGAACAGCGATGTAGGCATCCCTACAGCGCTGTCCAACCTAAGCCAAAAATATAGTGCATTGGCAGAAAGTTTTTGGACAGCGATGTTGACCCAGCAACAGCGCTGTCAGGTCAAAACTTCCATCTTCAAAGGCAGACCTAAACAGCGATGTTCTAGTATGGAACATCGATGTAGAGACCTGACCGTTGGAAGGAATTTAAGGCTAAAACTTTCCTTGTTTGGAAGTCAACAGCCAAAACAGCGATGTAGGGATTTTGGACATCACTGTTGGCATGACAGTTGCTTCACATTTTTCAAAACGTAAGCCTAGAACAGCGATGTCCAAATCTAGGACAGCGCTGTCTGGGTGAATTTTAGCAGATCCAAATTTTATCAAATCCCACAAATTGTGCAAATCACCCCTTAAATACTTTGGTCCATTGGAGCCTATTTTTCTACTATAAAAAGGGGTGTTTTGTGTCTGTTTTACACATCACATTACTTCACAACTCCTACTCTTTCATTGCAAATCATTCTTCAATTATTCATAGCTTTTGAGAGCCATTTTTGTGAAGCTTGTGTTGTGTTCTTGAGCGTTCTTAGTTTACTCATTATCCACTCTAAAAGAGAGTATTGTTCTTGAGTGTTTTTAGTGTTCTTAGACACTTGACAAGAGAAGGTATTTCTCTTGTTGTTCGAAGGAAGGGCTGTTTCCTTCGAAGGTTCGTTGAGGTTCGTGTGACTCGAATTCTCAAGTTGTACGGGTTTGTTAAGCACCGTTAAGCTTAACGAGATAGTAGTGTAGCTCGAGAGAGTCTCTCGGGAGGCTGGATTAGCCACAAGTTGTGGTGAACCAGGGTAAAATCGGTGTGCCTCTTTACTTCTCGTTTATTCTTTTTTTATTCCTGCGATTTCTTGATCAAACGCTATTCACCCCCCCTCTAGCGTTGGTCTATTATTCTAACAAAAATATCAAACCCAAGAAACCTATCACACTTGATTTTCATTCCATAAGATGATTTGATTATTTGGATAATATTCTAGGTATTTGTTTAAGGAAGTTGCTTAGTTCTTTCCTCTTTTGAGCTTGTATTAAAATCGGCTAAGGGCCTCATTTGTATCCCATCTTTTGTAATCCCATTTTCAAGATAATACAACTTGTTGTGTTGTTTTAAGATTCCTAATTTCTATATTTTAAGGTTGGTTTCCTTAAGCGTGAGTGTTAGGTTCTAGAATTTCATTAAGTGTGTTATATCTTAATTGAAGTCTAGATTTCAACCCCAAGAAAGGATAAGAGTGTGTTATATCTCTTAGACCTCCTTAGTTTATCTCCCTTTACTAAAATACCTCCTTTTCGTTCCCTGAAACTGCCCTATAATCGATTATCAACTCACGTGAAACATCTGCAGCCATCAATAATCGATTCACATATCCTTATAAATCGACAATTACCCTTTTCAGAAAATCTCCGCCAAAATCCCTTAAGAAACTGAACCCTTCAATAATCGATTATCTCTTTTTAGATAATCGACTATCACTCCTCCTCAATATTAAAACCACTGTATTCCTCAAACACCCAAAGCTAAGATACAACAAAGACTTAACACCAAACCATGGCTTTCACCTGCCAATGCATCACTACAAGAAAAATGACTTTTAGTTACGGATCAATTATGACGGGTTGATAATACTCTCATTAAATGAGTTATTTATACATTTTTAATGTGGGGAAAAAACACTAGTTAAAAGGTGTTACTTTTAGTGACCATTTTTTTTCATTTTTCTTGTTTTAAATTTAATACTCTTATATATATATATATATATATATATATATATATATATATATATTTCTAAATTGGCCAAACAAAAATATACGGAGTATTAAAAAATGAAATAATTTTTTAGGGAGAAATACTTATTCCTTAAAAAATACACTTAAAAAAATACAGCGCCAATCCAATTGGGATTGCCGCCTAACTTCCCTTTTCGCTGTGAAGGAGTATTTTGGTGAAAATTTTGGTGAAAATTTCTGATTTCTCTTCTCAGATTCACAATCCCGTGCAAAAGTCCTGCCTCCTGCTGAACCTTTATTATACTCCATCCATCCCTATTTAACCTTCCCATTTTGAATTATGATGTAAGTTATTTTCAATTCAAATTTTTAAATATTGGTCTAAAAAAAGTGAACCTCTCATGATAAGCTACATTCAGCAATTCATGTGCCCAAATACCATCTTTTCATTGACTTGCAATCATGTCATCATAATTCTGAGCAGAAAAGTATCTAGCTATCTAGCACAAAAAAGTATGTGGGGCATTCATGTGCCCAAATACCATCTTTTCATTGACTTACAAACATGGAGCAAATACCATCTTTTCATTGCCCAATAGCCATCTAGCACAAAAAAGTATGTGGGGCCCAAATACCATCTTTTCATTGACTTGCAATCATGTGCCCAAATACCATCTTTTCATTGACTTACAAACATGGAGCTAGAAAAGTATCTAGCCATCTAGCACAAAAAATAGAAACCTTATTCTGAGCATACCGCAGCAAGAACGTCATAAAGAGGACATAACTTGATCAAGAAATGAAACACCACTTTCAGCAACGCAGCTGTTTGCGGGCACTGCAATCTGTTGGCGTACTATCTCCTTCATCTCCCTTCCCATCTGATTTTAATACAGGGCCATTCCAGAAATGAACACAAATTTACGGTGTCATTGTCATGTGATTGGTCAGGAAAAGGGAGCAGAAGTATATAATAAAATGTGAACCACACAACCAAGAGGAAGATGATGGGTGTCAAATTTGATTACTAAGTTACAGATATGCAAAAGTTCCTTACTTAAACATACCTACCATAAAAAGATGTCTATTTCAAAACACTCCATTGGTTTTGAAATATAATGGTCATTGACTTTCAGAACACTTCTAATAAAACTAAATGTGATGTATGTTTATAAAATGTCATTTCAATAAGGCGCACACCATCAAATTATTTTAAAAAGATAAAGGTTGTAATAGTGAATTTGAAATGAATAATGGTAGTGGTGTTTAAATAATAAAAAAGGGCATTACTTTGGGGGCAGATAAAAACAAACAGCAAACTAAATGGCATGTAGTACCAGCAATATTATATGAAATGCTGGAATTTTCGTACATGATGAAATATGTAGCACAAGCATTCTGGAAGAAATCGAGCATTGCCAGCTTCACCCCATATCAAGAAATACAAAGAAATGAACAGCACCTTCTTTTCCTTGTTGATAACATCAAGGCTGCAAACAATGATTGAAAGAATCTGTGAATCTGAATAAAAAATACATGACGGAATTGAATTTTTTATTTTTAACAATGCTACGAGATATAGCAATAACACTTCCCTTACATATCATAAAAAATAAACGGTGTTAAACCAGAATACTTACTTGCTCCACACTGGCAAGATACCCAGATAGTTGCACCACTTAATGTAGTTGTCTAAGGACTTCAAAAATACCTTCTGGACTGCAGCCTCGTCCAAAAACTATATGAAAATCATGAATACGTGAAAACAAGTATTACACTATATGCTCCAAAATTGTATGCCTCTGATCTGGAACAGATAATTAAGAAACCCCATCTGTAGGAAGCAGTTGACTTGGCAACATGCATCTCAATTCTCAAGTTCTAGGAAATTAAGTACCAGTTTCTTGGATAAACAATTGAATATCTTTCGTCAAATACAACAAACCCAGCCTACTTTAGACTTGAGATTGACTTGTAAGTTGCAAAACCTCTATGCACAAATAATATTTCATTGATCAAATATAAAAACATAATGGTATTTCACTAGTTTTGACAAATGCATCAAAAATAATTGAATTATAAGTTAAGTTTTTTAAAATAATAAGAGTGATCAACGGTATCAAAAAACAAAATTCTTTGACGCCATTTGGGACAAGATTCCAGGAATATTTCTACATAACCAATCCCACTAGTCTAATTTAGCAATGTGGCTAGGTCAATAATCTTAAAGCAATATGAAAAAAAATATGAGTCATGAAACTATCCTTTAAATTTTGAATCAATCCTTCATATCCTCAAAGGTATGATGCATGAAACTTTTAGCCATACTTGGAGGCAGGGAAATACTCTTGTGCTGAGAACGGTAAGTGATGTTACATGGTAAGCTACTACAAAACCCCTCTGAGGTTCTACCCCCTACCTAAAGGCATGAGTAATCAAGTGAACTAAGAGGAAAATTCACATGTACTGACTCTTAGTTGCTGCAGATGATATCAGCAACAACAAAAACAAAAATGCATGAGTGATGACCCAACTAGAAACAAATGAAAGATGAAAGCCATGAATCCCAGGATAAAATAGTAACTTCATGATGAATGATTTCATGCTACAACATATATGATACCAAAAGACATACCGGTTCAGGTTCCTCGGGAATTTGAAACCTGCTTTGCTCATTAGCGAGAAGATGAACATTGTGCTCACGCTGGTTAGATACATTGTCTTTCTGCATAACAATCCAAGTACAGTCATCAAATTATATTTCAAAGGGAGAAAAAAAAAGGGAAAAAAGAATGAAGTTTAACGAACAAGGAAAGAAACTACATGCATAAAACACAAACAAAAACATCAAAGAGCATATTATAAAGAAATGATCAAATAGAATCTACAAACAGCAAATCATTTATACTCATGACAAAGATATTTTAAGCATACTAGAAAGAGCACACTCATAAAGCTATGGAAGAAGCCTAAACAAATGTAAGAAACCTCATCCATAGCGTACTTTGTGAACCTTTATTATACTCCATTCATCCCTATTTAACCTTCCCATTTTGAATTATGATGTAAGTTATTTTCAATTCAAGTTTTTAAATATTGGTCTAAAAAAAGTGAACCTCTCATGATAAGCTACATTCAGCAATTCATGTGCCCAAATACCATCTTTTCATTGACTTGCAATCATGTCATCATAAGCGTTAATGAAGGGAAAAGGGGGCATCATAGAGTTTGGGCACAATGACAGTAACAAGAAAAATAAAGAGAAGATATTGGTAGATGACCTTGTGAGAGAATTTCTATTAGCTCATGGTAGTTGCCCCATTGGTCACATATTAAGTCTTGGATGTTGTGGTCATCGTAAGAATTACAAATGTATAGCCCTTGTTTAAGTTAATTGTAGAAATGCAATAAGAAGTCTTCACTAAAAAAATGGTTATGGGTTAAGTTGTATGTTAAACACCAAGAATAATTGTGCATTAAAAAAATATATATGTATGCTGGATCCAGATTACTTGGACAGCTTCAAGTTGCAGTTCAGAATGCAATTATTATGAGGAACAGAGAAGTAATGCATGCCTGAAATCCAAATGTAAAATGCAAGAAATCAAATATATCTGCACTCCTTGTTGTTGGTATGGAGAACGTTCTGGGCAAGTTTGGCAGACCATTGAAGTACTTCAAAGCTGAA